TCCCTCAGCTGTGGTGGCTTCATCATCATCATCACCATCATCATCATCATCATCATCATCATCACCATCATCATCATCATCATCATCATCATCATCATCACCATCCATCATCCAAACTGTAAAACTCTGACCTGGACTAAGTTTGTCCTCTCTCAGCTTCCATAGTTTCTGTAAGAAAACAAACTTGTTAACATGTTAATTTATATTTTAAAACGTTAAAACAATTTTATTTTTCCCGTGTTTTTATTTTCCATGTAACTAATTACTTCATCAGTATTTTAGCTGTTAATGTCTCAAAATGTTTGTTTTTTGTATATTTTAAACTTTTCAAAATATTTTCCATATATCATTTTTACAGATCTTTACTTCTGTTTATGTCTCTTCATGGTACTTTTAGCTTTTAGTTATTGTTCGGCTATCCTTTTGCTACTTTTAGCTGTTAGTTGTTTTCTTTAAACAACCAAATTTGAGCTTTTTTGGCTAATGTCAGCAGACTTTAGCACTGTTTTCACAGAAAATACAGTTTTTTTGTTTTCAAATAACAGAAATTTTAAAAGTTAATTTTTTGTTTCTCGTCTCCGCCGCTCCTCTTTTACTTTTTTTAATTTATTTTGTCGTCCTCGGTCCAACAGAACTCTGCAGAACTTCTTATAGACCCCAGAACAGTTTCCTGAAGCCCAGGAGGACGTGTCCAAACTGAGATGTGATTAAAAAGTGTTTTTGTTGTTGTTTCTCCTCTCGGGGTGGAGGCAGGACCGGGGTGGGGATTTGCAGCGCGGGGTCGCCTCGCAGGGACCCCCACACGGGCTTGTGCCGGCCCTGCAGCCGGAGCAGAGATGATTTGTGTGCAGCCTGGCTCGGGTTTTGTTCCCGCTGAGCTCCATTTGAATAAGAAAGCTGCCAATAGAGTGGCTGAGGCAGAAAGAAAGCGGCACAAAAGGCCCGAGGAGCTGAATTTGGACGCAGGACAAACCAGGAGAGGAGTGAAAAGAAGCGCAGGGCGGACGGACACAAAGGAACAATTCACCTTATAATCGCTTTGATATATTATACATGCCTGAAGACTCTAAACATTGTGTAATTATTTATAAATGACCCCCCCTGCACACACAAACACACACACACCGGCCCCCCGCAGCAGAAAGGCTCTGCAGGTCTCTGCTTCTCCTCGGCTGCAGAAACAGAATAATTAATGGAAAATTGTATGCTTGTCTCATAAAGATGTCTTTAAAAACCACTTAAAGAAACCTGTTTGTGTTGGACCGGTCTGGAGACAAAGAGCCGGGCCGAGCCGGTCCAGGTTCTGCTGGTTCTGGTTCTGACTCGCTCAGGGGACGACGGGGTTCTGGTTCTGAGTTTTCATCAGAACTTTTCTTCTCAGGATGTCTAGAAAACAAAGAAGACTAAACTTTAACTTTCGAAAATTTTCAAAATAAAAGTTTGTTTAAAGCAGTGACGTCACTAGGCCGAAATAATTTAAAGACCCCCAAAAATATTTTGGTGTAAAAAATTATTTATTTATTTATTTACTAAAAGTCAACAT